GTGCTTTCTACTTCGCGTAGCAACTAAAGTGGAAGATCGTCACATGCTTCTATACACCACAATGGTGACACTTTGAATGGTACTGGTTGTATATGTTTGCTGACCAGCTTTCTGCATTATTCGAGTAAAATGGGGACATGCCTGGACAACATTCACAATTTAAACAAAAAAAAATTTCATATACATTTAAAGGTTCTTTCAAAGACTTTCTCTATGGCAATTTTTCCTTTATCCGTCAAAGCACGAGTGCCAACCCCGGCGAAATCATGTGTGAGTTCTGGCACACCTGGATATAATTTAAACATTCTTCTTACATCATCATACTTGTACCATTGACATGATCCTTCCTCTCTCCCAGTCCCATCATTTTTAAAAGAATCAAAAACAAAGACGGGTTTATTACTGTCTACTGCCAGTTGCACTGTCCATCCTGTTCCCCCATCCACCATTTTGTTCCCGACAATTTTTCCCACAGCAAAAACAGCATTGGAATTTTTCACCTGATACCAGTTACGTTGAAGTAAACGGTCAACAAAAGTTTTGCCCGTGGGAAATCGTCTGCGTAGTGAAACGTTGGCTTTTAACAAGTGCACATTAGAATCATTTAGTTCATTTTTATTCAGAACTTTTCTATAAGGATTGTTTGTAGCGTGGCCTGGGAATGAATACACAACTGTCTTGACATTATACCTGTCACTCATTTTCTGCCGATACATGTCACTCCCGTTGGCCCCACCAGAATGGTTGACATACAAAGCTGGTGTGTTGACAGTTTGCTGTTGAATGAATATACTTTGAGTCAAATTTTAACTGTCGTCTGGAGATGACCCCCGTCCTTCTGCAGCTCTAAGCAGTTCTTTGTATTCGACATCCTGAGAATGAAATGAACTAGACTTTGCAGTGTGAATAAAAATGTTAACACAGCCTGGAATATGTGATGATAATCGGTTATTGCCTGGAAAAATGAATGGCCGTATGAAATGTTTAGCTGGAATGAAATTTCCAACGTAGACACAGAGCAATATTGTATTTACCTAGGGGAAATGATTTCCTTTAGCACGGCTGTCAGTGTGCAGAGTATTTACTGAACGAGATAGACTTGGGATCATCGTTTTTTTTTTTTTTTGTGCACCTGCACTAAACCTGAGGTGTATAAATGACCACTGGGGATTGGAATGCGATGAACAATGGGTTGAGATAGACCAAAGATGGCCACTGTCTTATCGTTGAGTCACGGATTTGGAATTTTTTTTCTTTATTCAAAGGCCAAGTTTAAAATGTTTTATTATATGATTATTTGAAGAAAAACTCCAAAGTCATCATGTTTTGCTGAAAGAATTGCAGAGCCATTTTATTTCGCCAAAGATTCGCAATGCCTTATGGTTGCTATAATTCACTTCAAACATCAGTCTCCACTGCACCAGTGTTATGTACTATGCTTGAAACATTCTGTAGGTAATTCTAATGATGACAGTTCTGAGTTACGAGGACTAAGGAATCTATTGCTCACTACTTTTTTAATCTCGTACGCTACTACGACTAGTCCTCGGCTGATCAAAGCTCCTACGGTGCTAGTTTAACCCCACGGAATCATGTATGATTTAATTTATTTCAAAGTCTAGGTTCCACACAAGTAATTGTACTGCGTGTATTATATATCTGATAAGTGTGAACTACTCTTGAATTAAGTTTTACTGATCTTCACAAAAAACGGTAAAGCACACACTCGTCCCCTGCACATACGGGTACTATGCTTAACACGTCCAGAATCACTGATCAGTAACAAGTAGAATATTTTGGAATTATGAATAAAAATCTCCGTCCTTGCATAGAAATAATCAGACACGTCTGGGTATCATATGTTTGTCAAGCGGATTTGCAAATGTACAGAATAAATTAGTGTCTGGTATACACGCGTCTGTCAAGTGGATTTGCACTTATCAAAAGTATTTAGTGTTGAGGTGAAATGAATACTATATTTGAACGGGCAAAGCAGTCAGCTGGTACACTGCTGTTTAACAATAATGAATGGCGAAAATTGTTTATTGACAAGGTAGAACACGGACATTTTTTTACAATGTCATCACATCTTAGTGACACAATGCATTATTTTTACTAACCATTTGGTCGTTCTTTTGCATCAATAAATCAGCTTATGGTTATTTATTTCAATATTTGTATGTTTAATAACAACATATTTATAAAACGGCGCAATTCAGTCACTGCGCCATAGGTTGAGTTTTATGGACAGCAACTACGCGTCACAATATACTTTACAACAACAATATTTTTTATGCGAAAGGAATTTTATTCTGCTCACACGTAAAACAACGAGTTGGATATGCGACCACAGTGTCCCCTGCTCTGTCTACCCTCAGTCGCTCCTTTGAATGACTCTGTTAGTCCTACAAGTCTGCTTTCTCGACTATGCATGCGGCAAAACGCTACATTTTCATACTGACAAAATTAGGGTGACAGGTGGTTCATAACTCACGCCATGGGTGCAAGTTTCGATCAACATTTACTCCATTATTAGAAACACTGATTCTCGACTGATAATTGTGATTTTCCCTGTTCTTTGATTATCTGTATACATTTTACAAAAAAAAAGTGAATTTTGAATTGTAAATCACACATAAATCCTTTTAATATGACCGATAAGTTTAATTTAGTTGCAATAGAATAGAAAATAAAATCATAAGCAGCAGAAAATCTTCATATACGTTTAAAGGTTCTTTCAAATACTTTTTCTATGGCACTTTTTCCTTTATCTGTCAAAGTACGAGTTCCTGCAACCCCGGCGAAATCATGTGTGAGTCCTGGCACACCTGAATATAAATTAAACATTCTTCTCACATAATCATACTTGTACCATTGACATGACCCTTCCTCCACCCCAGTCCTCTCATTTTTAAAAGAATCAAAAACATAGACGGGTTTATTACTGTCCACTGCCAGTTGCACTGCCCATCCTGTTCCCCCGTCCACCATTTTGTTCCTGGCAACTTTTCCCACAGCAAAAAACAGCATCGGAATTTTTCACCTGATACCAGTTACGTTGAAGTAAACTGTCGACAAAAGTCTTGTCTGTGGGAAATCCTCTGCGCAGTGATATGTTGGCTTTGAACAAATGCGCATTAGAATCTTTCAGTTCCTTTTTATTCAGAACTTTTCTATAAGGCTTGCTTGTAATGTGGCCTGGGAATGAATACACAACTGTCTTGACATTATACTTGTTACTCATTTTCTGCCAATACATGTCACTCCCATTGACCCCACCAGAATGGTTGGTATACAAACCTGGTGTTTTGACAGTTTGCTGTTGACTGAATGTAATTTGACTCAATTTTAAACTGTCGTCTGGAGATGACCCCCTCTTTTCTGCTGCTCCAAGTAGTTCACCATATTCGACATCCCGAGAATAAAATGAGTCCCCTAAACTAGACATATTACTTTTTTTTTAATTTGGGTTTTTACAAAAAGTGAACTTTGAAACGCTCAGTGTAGATTTAATTAGTGACTTCAGTTTATGGTTTTTTATTTCAATATTTGTATGTCTAATAAGAACATACTTATAAAACTGTGCAATAATTCAGTCACTGTAAACTGCACCATATGTTGAGTTTTATGGACAGCAACTACGCGTCACAATATACTTAACAACAACTACATTTTTTCTGTGAAGGAATTTTATTCTGCTCACACGTAATACAACGAGTTGGATATGCGACCATAGTGTCCCCTGCTCTGTCTACCCTCGGTCGCTCCTTTGAATGACTCTGTTAGGCATGCACGTCTACTTTCCCGACTATGCATGCGGCAAAACGCTACATTTTCATAATAACAAAATTAGGGTGACAGGTGGTTCATAACTCACGACATGGGTACAAGTTTTGATCAACATTTACTTCATTATCAGAAACACTGATTCTCGACCTTCGACTTATAATTGTGATTTTTTTAAAGCGCTACTAAAACACTATCAGCATTTATTTTTTGTTTTGATGGCAACAGCCCATGCAAATTTTGAAAATATATCAATCACGGTAAAAAAAGTACTTATAAACCTTGTTGCACTTAGATATTTTGCCGACGTCAGCTAAATTCGTCTGCCATTGCTGATCTGTACGACCAACTAGGACGCGAAATCTTTTTCTGACGTTGGCGTGTAGCGTATACGTATCTTGCTTGGACAAAAACTCCTTAATATGTTTTAGTCCTATTTCCTTTTTATCTTTTCGCGTCGCTTCATATAATTTCAACGCACTTCCAAAGCTAGCGGGGATTGGATGGATGGTAAAATATTTTATTCAAGTAATTATCTGTCTGTCCCTTACTCTTACCCGCTCCTCGTCTTTTCATCTTTTCAAATGAACGTTTTAAAAAAGTCTGTATGATCTTTGAATAGGATTTCCATGCACTTCGTCAAAGCCTATGTTCAACAGTGTTTTCACTGTACTGGGCGTGTAGTTAGGTTTCTTTTTGTTGGCGACAAACAACTGCACTAATTCGTGTCGCTTTTCGGACGTCAGTGGAACATTTAGTGGATTGGCAAGTCTCTTCCCGACCGTGTTCATAGTACAGTGCGGATTGTGACGCTCGTGTTCAACGTCTGCCGCATCTCTCAATGGGTCCCAGTTTCTAAGACTGACCCGACAGTTAAAACAAAGCACAGCGTCGTCTGTATTTGATGCGTCTTGGTCCCTGTAAAACCCGCTGATGGCTAAAGGTATAGGGTTGATGAGAAGTTTGAAGGACCAGTTTAGAAAACTGAGAATCCTATATTCTTCTTTACAATAGGGCGTTCGTGACCTTCCTCATTTGCATCATCTCACATAAATCCTTTTACTATGACCGATAAGTTTAATTTAGTTGAGGTAGAATAGAAAATAAAATCATAAGCAGCAAGTAGATGCAGAACTCGTAACAGAAAGTATATTATTTGTAATGTTGGTACTTGATATTTATATGAATTTATATGAATAAAGAATGCGGAGACCTCATATTTCTTCAATCTTNATCGTGTGACCAGGCACGTTGCTGCACACGCTGACGCTGAGGAAACGATGTTCGTGTTCTAAGCTCAGCTTTTCGCTGTGCTGCAGCTCCTCCGTACGGGGTAGCAGACACTCGATGTCGAAAGTCGCCCGATATCGATAGTATCTGTCTTCCTCGGGGACGAAAATGCCCTCGTCTTCGAGGAGGTCGAATACGGTGGGCTGGGGAGCGTACGCCTTGCCGGGAAAACGGTGCTCTACGAGGACGTCGCAGGTCCGTTCGTGACGACTGAGCATGTGTTTGCTTTTGAACATTTTGCTGCACCTCGAACAGCAAAACGAGTGGCAGTATTTGCCCACGTCGTTGATGTACGAAAAATGATTTTCGTGCACGTTCAGCGACATGGTGTCGTTGTACTTGCCGGTCGAACGACGAACGAGTTCTGCAAACACGTCCCCGTCTTCGTTTTGCTGCAGTTCGTACACGACGATGTTTACCTCGAAGAGGGCTTCTACCTTGTGCAGTCGATGGAGCGCCACGCCTTGGAAACCTTTGCGTTTGCATTTTCTTTTGCTTTCCCTGTACTTATCAAACAGTTTCTTCGTTGTTGTTTCCAGTCCTCTGACGGATGAACCTTTGTGCAAGGCGAGGCACCGAAAGAGGCAGAGATTGTCGCGGTACGTTTTTCCTCGGTTGTTTTTTTGCAGGGCAACCAGACCCCTGTTGTTTAGCACGAAGGAAGGCAGGTCGATCCCGCACCCGATGGGGTGACCCTTTAACTTCGTTACGTAAAACGTGGCGTTGGTGACCGTGTCTACCACCCACTTCGAATTTGGCCTCTCCTGTCGAGCACATTCTAAGACATCTCTGGCGGTAATGTTGTGGAAGAAACCGTCGAGATCCTGGCGGTGGCGGATCACAGCGGGTGCTTCTAAGAAGCAATGGTTGTTGCTGCTGGGGTGGTAGTACCTTAACTGCCCGGTCTCGTTGTTTCTTAAGAAAAAACCGTACGACACGTTGATCTTGAACGCCGTGCGTTGATCTTCCAAGATCCGCTCCAGGTCGTCTCGAAGGGCATCGGGTTGAAGGGTGGTTAATCTAATATTGTACCAGTCTTGGAGTTTGTTACCCCTCGAGGATCTGGTCCGTATGCTGTTCCAATGGCTTCCGTACGCTTCGGCAACCGACGGGTCGACGTCGGGGGGTAGAAGATTGTCGGGCATGACGACGCGGTCGGCGGCTCCCGACCCCCTTTGAATCCTGGGTCTTTTAACCGCCGAAGAGACCTCTGGTTCTTCGCTCGAACTCGTCGAGGTCCCCTGGTGGAGGCGTAGATGCCTTTTCATGTTATCTCGACGAGCAAAAGTCTTCCCGCATTCGGGGCATGCTACATTTTTTTCCTCCGTGTGGGTGAGTCGGTGTCGTTTAAGGTTATCGACGCGGTCGAAGGATGCGCCGCACACTTCGCATTTGTACTGTTCCATGGTTGCTGTCGAACTGAAATGAAAATTAAATGTAGACTATAATAACGCGTTTTATATATGGTTGGTTGATACCACAATTTGATTGGCCAGCACTGTTTTGATTGGCTAACGAAAAGAGTATTAAAATAAAAGTTACAATTTTATCGGACAGTTAAAGAATGGATGACAGTAAAGTATTCACCGACTGTGTACCAGAAGACAAGCCCTTGTTTTTTCGAACACCCTATTGTAAAGAAGAAGATAGGATACTCAGTTTTCTCAATTGGCCTGGTAAACTTCTCATCAACCCTATACCTTTAGCGGGTTTTACAGGGACCAAGACACGTCAAATACAGACGACGCGGTGCTTTGTTTTCACTGCCGCGTCAGTCTTAGAGACTGGGACCCGTTGAGAGACGCAGTGGACGTTGAACACGAACGCCACAGTCCGCACTGTACTATGAACACGGTCGAGAAGAGACTTGCGAATCCACTAAATGTTCCGCTGGCGCCCGAAAAGCGACGCGAATTAGTGCAGTTATTTGTCGCCAACGAAAGGAAACCTAACTACACGCCCAGTACAGTGAAAACACTGTTAAACATAGGCTTTGACGAAGTGGACAAAAACCCCATGCAAAGGACATACAGACTCTTTTAAAGTTGAAAAGATGAAGAGACGACAAGCGGGTAAAAGTAAGGGACAGACAGACGATTACTTGAAGAAAATATATTACGATCCTTCCAATCCCGCTAGCTTTGGAAGCGCGTTGAAATTATATGAAGCGGCGCGAAGAGATAAAAAGAAAATCGGACTAGAGCAGATAAAAGAGTTTTTGGCCAAGCAAGATACGTATACGCTACACGCCAACGTCAGAAAAAGATTTCGCACCAATCGCGTCCTTGTTGGTCGTACAGATCAGCAATGGCAGGCAGATTTAGCCGACCTCGGTAAAATATCTAAGTACAACAAGGGTTATAAGTACCTTTTAACCGTGATTGACATATTTTCAAAATTTGCATGGGCTGTTGCTATCAAAACAAAAACTGCTGACAGTGTTTTAGAAGCGTTTAAAAAAATTTTAGCCGAAGGTCGAAAACCGGCTATCCTTCAGTCAGATGCCGGAACAGAATTTACTAATAGGAAATTTCAAGCATACCTCAAGGAACAGGGAATATCGTTTTTTACAACAAAGTCGGAACGAAAAAGCTCTGTCGTGGAACGGCTGAACAGGACTTTAAAATCTAAATTTTTTAAATATTTCACCGCCAACAGTACGCTGACGTACATATACGCACTCGACCAACTGCTGACGGGGTACAACGCGGCTAAACACCGGAGTATAGGCATGTCGCCGACGGAGGCCTCAAAAGAAAAAAATTCGGACGCAGTATGGAATAAACTTTACGGGGGGAAAAATCTAGAAAAACCAAAGTTTAAATTTAACGTCGGAGACACCGTTCGATTGAGCAAACATAGGTCCCCCTTTGCGAAAGGCTACGAGCAGGGTTGGACGCAGGAGTTGTTTACGATAATCCAACGTTTAAACAGGTCACCGCCGGTCTACAAGGTGGCAGACTACGACGGAGAGGAGATTGAGGGTGTCATGTATGGACCAGAAATGATTCGCGTCGTAAAAAAAGATGACGTGTATAGGGTTGAAAAAATTTTGAAATCGAGAGGGAAGGGTAAATCGAAAGAATATTTCGTGAAATGGCAGGGTTGGCCTTCCAAATTCAACAGTTGGGTCCCCGCATCCCGCGTCAAAACAGTATAAAAAAGGATTTGCTGTGGCCTCCGAAGATTAGTCGGAACGATGGCCTCGTCCTTTCACATCACACTCCCTTCCAACAGCAGTTTCAACTTTTTCCCAGGCAACAGACCCGAAGCGTTTAGAACTAAGCTGTCCTCTTCGCTATATTTGCAGGGACAATATGAAGTAGCTTTGACGGAAATACTTTATTGTAAAACGTGGAATAATGTGGAAAATAGTTCTCTGAATTATTTCGACGGTCAAAAACCTCAAACGCTTCGGTTGTCTAATGGGTATTACCCCCACGTGAATGACCTATTGACAGCCATTCATAACGGGATGTCTGCTCAAGGCCAAATCAACATTCGGTTTGCATTCAACATTATTACGAAAAAGGTGACGGTTCATTTGAAAGCGGGAGCAAGCGTTCACTTTAGCGGGAGCATTGGAAATATGCTGGGTTTCGATAACGTTAATGTATCCGAGGATACTACAGCTACTAAACCGGCGAACACGACGGACGACTTCGATTCTCTCTATGTTTACACAGACATTATAAAACCACAACTAGTAGGTGACACATCGGCAAATTTACTGCGCATAGTTCCGATCAAGGGGGAATTCGGTGAAACAATCACGCATAGTTTTGATTCGCCTATTTACGTACCTCTAATCTCTAACGAACTGTCGACAATAAAAATCCATATAACCGACGACACGGGGAAATTTGTTCAGTTCCAAGGAAGAAAGACCGTCGTAACACTTCATTTTAGACGCAAAAATTTACTGTAACGATGGATCCAGTCTATACAGCACTCTTAAAGTACTATCAGAACCAAGCAGGCGAAGGTATAATTAATAAATTCCACGGAAGACAAAAAGGCGGCGGTGCTAGACACGCAGTAGTACTTCGCATAGGTGAAAAGCCCGCGCGTCACTCGAAAGAAAAAACTCGAAAAAGAAAACTTTATGTAAGCAGTGATGTTATTACAAAAACAATGAACGGCATGAGTATAAAAAAGGACGTTAAAGCCAAAAAGGCCAGACGCGTTAAAAAACGCACAACCAAACACATCTCCGCGAAAACTAATTTTTAGTAACAATGGAACGCGTCGTTCGAACGGAACTGGATTTGTTCAGCAACATTCGCGATGCTTTTCAAGTTCAAATAGAACATTCATCGGTGGAAGAATTGAGACCGGTGAACAGCGTTACAGACACTTCCCCTGTAATAGAATTTCTAATCGTAGGAAACGCGGATGAATATATCGACCCAAATAATATCGTTCTTTATTTGGAAACGCAAGTAGTAAAAAATGATTTTAGTGACATAGATATCGGACAGGATACAGCTCCTGTCAACAATACGTTACATTCGCTATTTTCGAATGTGGAGGTTGAATTGAATGGGACGGTCATAACGGAATCTAACAACACCTACGCTTACCGTGCGTACTTGGAAAACTTATTATTTCACGGGAGTTCTGCGAAAAAGTCATGGTTGACCAACGAAGCTTGGTATACTGATACACCCGGATTGTTCGATTTGACAGATGTCAGTGGAGATCCCGCTAATGAAGGCTTAAAACGAAGATATTCGCTGTTTCAACGTTCCCGAAAGTGTGAAATGATGGGGAAGATAAAATGTGATTTTTTTCAACAACCGAAACTTTTATTAAACAATGTAGACATCAGGATAAAACTACGAAGAAGCGAACATAGTTTTTGTTTAATGTCCGGAACTACTTCCAAAGACGAAAAAATGCTGATAAAGAACATTTCTCTTTTTGCGAGGAGGGTTAAAGTTTCGTCCCGCCTCAAGGCTGCCCACGAAACTATGTTGATGAATAACGTGGCTTGTTACCCCATCATGAGAAGAGAAGTCAAAATAATCAATATACCCAATAATGTTCGAAGTGCTTTTCTGGATAACATATACATGTCTAAAATACCGCGTAGAATTTTTATGGGTATGGTGACGGACGCTAGCCTTTCGGGACAGTACGATTTAAATCCCTTCAACTTTAAACATCAGAATCTTCGGTCTTTGCNGTTGATGACCAAACTTAATGGAAGTTTCATGCTCAAATCCATGTTTCTCAACTGAATGTCTCTACAAGAGTGAAACTTAATATACCCCACATTTTTTTTATCACGTGATTTTTTTTTTCAAACAATAACTTACCTGCTTTGTAAGTGGTGGACTTCGCTCTCGGTTTCGACCTCTTCTAAGTGTGCGACGCTATCGGAAAGACAGCTCTGCCGTAATTCTGAGTGATCCGCGTTGCCCGCCCGTGTCCTTTGAATCACGGGATATTTATACGCAGCGTAATACAATGAGTCAGCATTTTTTATGGAATTTTCTATTGAAATTCGGAAGATAATAGGAATATTCCAGATCTCTTTTATTAGTATTATGTTCTATTGAAATTCGGAAGATAATAGGAATATTCCAGATCTCTTTTCTTAGTATTGTGTTACGGAATTTTCTCTTGAAATTCGGAAGATAAAAGGAATATTCCAGATATCTTTTTCTTAGTATTATGTAATGGAATTTTCTATTGAAATTCGGAAGATAATAGGAATATTCCAGATCTCTTTTATTAGTATTATGTTATGGAATTTTCTATTGAAATTCGGAAGATAATAGGAATATTCCAGATCTCTTTTCTTAGTATTATGTTATGGAATTTTCTATTGAAATTCGGAAGATAAAAGGAATGTTCCAGATATCTTTTTCTTAGTATTATGTTATGGAGTGTTTTTAATTGTGTAATAAAACGTGTCTATCAAAATTCTGATTAAGGAGCGGTTATACAATATCCAAAAACCAGTTAAAACCGGCTAAAAAGATAATAGAGATGTCTCAGATCTGTGTATCAACTCTTTTCTGAGTATCATTCTATTGAAATTCGGAAGATAATAGGAATATTCCAGATTCGTGACTCAACAGAATATTTTATAATATGTGTGTTTGAATACGAAGGGTCTTTTTAGACGAGCGTAGACTGCATCCAGTTGCAATGTGATGTTACTGCGTTCGACGCAGTTGAGGCATTAAGTCCCACTGTGTTTGGTTCTCACTAAGCGCTTTGTGACTGCGCTGGTTATCGTGGTTGACTTCACCTGTCAGGCAACAAACTAAACTGCATTATATCCCAATGTTACACGTCGAGCAGAACCACATCTATTCATGTCTACTGTTGTGATTATAGTCGCTAAAATATAAGGAGACTTTACAACAAACGAGGTCTCGCTGATCCCAAGTCT